GGATCCCGGTTGCAGCAGGCCGGGCGGCCCTCCGGTTGCTCCGCTAATTGACTACAATGCCGGTCGCGTATGGAGCGCATTTTCTGTTTTGTTACCTCAAAACAAAGCCGACAATGCGGCTGATCGCCGAGTGGCCACTCCAGCCACCGTCGCGGACTGCGCCCCGCCCCGCGACGGGCCGGCCAACCCTCGATTTTTCCCGTCGAAGCGTTCGACAGGACTCGGAGAGGACGACAAGTCGCTCGAGGATCCAGCGACGAAATCGAGATTGTAACATATAGTCGAGTGCCCTTTGTTAACCCACCGACGGAGAGCGCAATTACATCCTCGCCCCCATTGTGCCTCGACAGCTTTTTGTTACCGTGTTTCGTCCGGTTACCTTGTTCCAAGGGGTGGCGAACGGTTGAGAGAGAAACGAAGGGAGAGGAAACGCGACCGAGTGAAAGGGAACGAGGCTCCGCGCGTGGTATGTGGACTTTGGAACTCCACAAAGACCGGCCGCGATTTTCTCGCCGAATAATTATGCCCGCCTCGCTATGGGAATTACTGAACGCAGAGCGACAAGCTGCAGGTTATGTGGCACAACTGTTTGAAACATTGAAAAATTTGTTCCTTTTTGGTACATTCTCGTAGATTGATGTTTGAAAAATGTTATGGTATTTATTTTGGATATTTTCATGAAGTTTTCTTTGGTTTTGGATGAAGTAGTTTATGAAAACGAGGATTTTAATTAACATCTTGGTAAGTATATCTGATAACTACCGTAGAATTTCTGGTGAATAACACGAAAGAATCGTCTATCTCTCCATTTCCTACATATTACTACAAATTTAAAAAAATATTATATTCCCGAAATAAAAGCTATAAATAAAAGAAGAAACAATTATTAGAGTTCGCGCAAACATTCATTGTCCCCGAGAATTACACAAAACCAGAGACTCTTTCATCTGTATGTCTGAATCGCTCGTATTTCGAGTGTCATACAGCCGATTCGGAACAGTCGCGCAGTCATCGAGACCCTCCGGTAATTAAATCGAAAGTAAAGAGCACGGGGAAAGCAACGAGACAAGGAATAGACGATCGCGACAATAACGGGAAACAAAGAGAGGTACCTAGAACGCGGGGAGACGAGACGGCATTGTGGCGATCATTGTTTCGCGAAATGACCCGCGTGTTGCGTACCCTATTGGCCGTCTCGTGGCAAGGTGCTGATGTGCTCGACCGGTGGGAACCACTTGTCGACTCCGTGGACGGAGCCACCACATGCTTGCGCGCCCAATTACGTCGGTCATATCGTCGCGTAGCCGCGACAATGGCTACCGGGTAGGTAGTCCCTTTTTGCTCGGGCAGCACTGGAATTCACGTATCGTCCATTTACACCGGTCTTGAGTCGTCCTCCGATCGATTGTTTCGCGTTGTTGTCGCGCAACGAACACAGCCACCGATTTCCATTCGGTCTCACCGTTCACGATCGGAGATTATTATTCGCTCGGCCGGAAACGTTACAGTATTACATGCTGAAAAGCACCGATCTGCCTCTTCGAAAACAGAAGTACCACTCGAACGGGCAGCGGCGCGCAAGGGTGCGTGGTCGGGGGCCGGACACCGCCGCGCTGGAAATTGTAACATACGGCGCACCCTCGAGGGTTTCATTAAATCGAGATGTTAATTGCGAGGCAACGCGATGGGCTTTGATTATTGCTTCTTGCCACGGTTTTTCGCTGCTCTGTCACTTTTGTTTCGCTTTACACCGTTGTTCCTCGGACCATTGGACTTGATGTTGCGGTATGGCTACGGGGTTGAATTATTTAGAATGGAATGGAAATATCGTTTTGGGTGATGGAATTAAGCATTGCTTAACACTAGGTTTATGGAGATTTATAGTTTATTGCACTGTATCTAGACAATTTGATGTTCGTTTATTCGGATGTGGGAAAGTAGAGGTTTAAAAGTAAACAATTAACTTAACACGCGTCAAATTGTCGCGTTCCGTACTCCTAATGTTAAGTTCGTGTCGAGGTATGGAAATTATTAAAGGTTATTGAAATTGTAATATTTTTAATTATATATTTAATTGTATATGTTCAGCTATATACACTATATACTTAAAGATTGATGGAATAATGTTCTAGTGGACATAAAACTCGAATTTTCACAATTTTCAATTTTCATTTTTGATTCCAGTTTACCTGGATGTCGAAGGGTCTGCAAATCTTGCTCTAGTTTTCTGAAAGCCGTATCAGTTGCATTGTTCCCTCGTCTTGTTTAAGGGAACTGGCAACGTGCCCCTGAAATAGTATTTAAATCTGTTAGTTCTCGGAGAATTCTGCGAAACTTCGTAGCTTAGCTGCCTCACGGGCAGCATCCACCGATACTTTTGGGCGGACTGTTTACCTGACAATTTGTCAGCGTACAATGTTCGAATCCAAAATCCTCGAGACCTGAGTCTCTGGGACCACAGCGGTCAGCTTTTATCTGAGTATTACAGCGGTACGAATGGTTCTTTTGCCTCTGTGGCCACCGATGTGCCAGAACTTGTTTGACATCACGATGCGGCCTACTGCTTTTCACCATTTCTATATTCTTCTCTCTCGTTTCATGCGTTTTTTATATGCTTATCATTATTTGTTGTGAATCAGAATTATTTTTTAGGCAGTGTTTTTATGTGTTTTGGCCATTCCAAAACCATTCCTTTAATACCAAAATCTACACTATCATCTCACTGACATCTACTCGAACTAAATTATTTATTACCGTGAATTAATATTTCAAAGAGAATCTTATAAATCGTAATAGTTCAATTTTTATTCTGATGTGAGTCACTATATCAGTAATTTACATGAATAAATAATTGTAATAAATTTACAGTTCCAACACATTCTAATAATAGTTTGAATAAAATATATTATTATAACATGTGTTACACTGGAGTTACACAGGGCAATTCTGAGGACATTACTGAGCTTCTGAGTTACACAGGACAATTTAAAAGCATGCTATAGTGTAACAGTTTCTTCATAAAATCATTCAACGAACTTTATTCCATTGAACTTCGAGTATCGGAAGAATTAAGCTGGCAGCTATCGATGTAAACAGATTTTATGCGACAGTACGTTATGATTGTTGAGTGCCAACATTTCAGAGCTCGGTCATGCGAATCAGGAGAGTCACTTGAACACGCACGGTGCTAGCACCGACACATTTTTCATCCCGCATCGCTCTTTCAGTTATTTTTTTGCCACGAGAACGTTCTTGAGAATATTCCTTATATCTTGAAGTATTACAGACATACCTGTACTGTCTAACCAACATACGTAACAACTACGACAGTTAGTAAAATAACAATATTTCAGTAAACATTCGATAACATTATTCTCAGTTTTCATTGGAAATAAATGTTATTTCAACAGAACTTTCCTTCATTTTCACAGAATTCAATAACCTTTTATCTACCAATAAATTAAGCTGTAGTAATAAAATAAGATATTTTATGTAACGTAATTTTTTGAATTCCTTCCTTACTCTCGATCACATTTTAGACATTAATATTAAAACTAATTCAATTTCGTTTCTCCGTTACCTAGAAAATAAAAAAAAACTATATTTTACAACTGAATTAAATACAGTCTGTTCTCTGTCTAACTGAAATGTTAAATAAATTCAATTACACTGTAAGAAGTCCTAATAAATAAATATCATTTCACAAAGACCGTCTGCGCGCACTTCACGATCATCCCCGAAAGATCATTGATCCAGGATCATCGTTAAAAATAACAGAACGCGTTTTCTGCCGGGGTACACAACATTCGTTACACAAAGAACACGATGGAGACTTTGTCAGCCGACTTCCATTCGATGTTTCCCGAATGCTTTCTCACCGGTCAACTAGGATGATTATTTACCCGCCTTGGTGATTACACCTCGGCTGCCACGGTAGGAAATACCTCTAAATAAACTGACAGCCCCAAGGAATTCCGACACGGGCAACCTTTATACTGCGATTACCACTCAAATCACCGTGAAATTCCCGTGAAATGCGTTTCATTGTGCCGCGAGGCTGCAGGTAAAATTTAGATGTTCCTCTTACCCGAGAAACTTTCCTCTTCCCGCCGGAACGTTTCGAAATCGTTCACCGCGCGTACCTCTGTTATTAGTAACTTATTATTTCCTGTATTCCTTTTCGGATAAAACAATGAAAAAAACCGAATTCTAATTTTTAACCCCTTGCATGGCAACGATGAGTCAAATTTTGTCTATTGTTTTATAAATCTAGAGTTTCGTAACCAAAATAATCATATTATTTTCATAGATAAATTTAATTGAAGTAGTTTAGTTCTCTTTTTAAATAGTTGTACCTATAGAGCTGCGGCGAAATTAAATAACGCAAACAGGATCATTGGGAATGAAATAAATCGTAGGGGTTGGACAATTTGTTTAATTAAAGGAATTAACGTATGTAGAATACATTGTAAGTACCATGGGTTTTACAGAAATTTGTAATATCGAGTATAAAATTTATTTTAAACACCAGATTTACGAATCCTGTCAATTTTTTAAACATTATCTAATAACAGTTTAAGTCTGGTCCTAAAATTACAATTTTCGCGATTTATACAGACGAACACGTAGTTTTCTAGGAAGAATAGAATAAAGCATAAAATAAACATCTGTAAATCTAGTGTTAATAAAGACATAATTACAAATAATTTTGTTAATAATCATCGTGATCGACAGCATAGCTTAATTAATTAGGCGTTATTTTACTATCTGCTTTTATCGTGTTTCAAGGTTCTTGAAACATTAAACTAGGACTACGCGAACGTTTTAGATGCGGTCGTGTAGTCCTGGCTTAAGGCTGTATCCACACGAGCGACACGATCCCGCTACGATGTCGCAGCAATGGTTTTGAAGCAACAAAAAAAATTGAAATTCTCTGTCTAACAGGAAATGGATAAGGAAATTTTGTGTTTCTGTTCTTCGAAAATCGTGCAACGTCGCATTAGAGTAGGGTCGTCTCTCGTATGCATACGGCCAAAATCAAATAAAATAAAATAACATTACATTAACTTTACTTAACTTAACTGAACTGAACTTATATTAAAACAAGTATTAACCGACAGTTATGTTACTCATTAAAAAGACGGATCGACGTTGAATTCAGTGGTTTTGATTTTTGATATCATATGTTACAAGCTCTATGTACAATCAGACACGCATCATCTTATGTTGCATATTGCCACGAATGTCATTAAAGCAAAATTATAGTCCATAAGTGTTACAACTAACCCTAAATATTTTAATTCGTATTAAAGCAGGGCCCTTCCCGATTTGTTTTAAATATGACTATCTTATCTTTGAACTACAGCGTAAAATTATTGAAATGTTCCTACTTAATTATTGTTAATGATATATGATTTGACTTTTCCTACGTACTTCTGAGTCAATTATATAAAAGAAGTCAACGCTTTGCCTTCATATCATTGGTGAACAATTGCTTCCAAATCATTTCTTTCTGATATGTTCTCATCACAGCTGATTCCCGTGTATAATTCATTCGACCGAGACTAGATATGAAACACGCCTGCGTGAGAAATTATTGGTGAACATCGAATAAAAGCTCCTAAAATTTCTTATACATTTGTTTTACTTCAACACTTTTTTCCGCGTGAGAAGTTATTGGTGAACATTGAATTGAAGTTCCTAACATTTCTTACACATTTGTTTTACTTCAACACTTGTTTTGTTTGAAATCCTTTCGAATTTCAAATTTATTACTGTCTTTCTATTGATTCCAGATTCGGTCAACTAAAGTATACACTCTTCTCGACCTATCCTATCCTTCGGGTGAATTATAATTCACATATAATGATTTCACAAACTGATTTTTGTGTTGTAAGTTGACAGTAATAACAGTTATACTTATGCATTCATGTCCAACCCCAACTATGTTTTATGAATTATCTACCCCAATGTTCATCAACAGAACTCTAACCACTTCGTAGAAGAAAACACCTAAGTACATCATATATAACAACTCTTCTATTGTATTTCTTTGTCCTTCCACTCTACGCTTATTCGAATTCAGGCCGCTTTATACATATCGCAAATGATCCTTTCAATAGGGATAACACCGATGGTCCTTCTGAAGAAAAGTTCTTCAATGGCGTTTGTGGACACTGATCTCAACGATGGTAGCAACAGTAATAATTTTCCAAACCTAAGTGCTCCGAAGGATGCTCCGCCGAGTCTCTGACCAAGAGCTAGTTGGGCTCCATCCCTCAACCTCGCGACAGCAGCAGCGTCCCTGAGCCTGTTGCCAGTGCTAGGGGATGCTGAACCGTTGCTACTCCTACTGCTGGGTAAGGGCTCGTTGTCCAAACCTGCTTTGAACAGCACGATCGCCCGTATGCAAGCGAATTCATGCTGGTCTAGGTTCATTGCATGAAAACCGGCCAACGTTTCTCTGAAACGATTCACTTCCACTGCTAAACTTAGAGCTTGAGGACCTGGAGGTAGCAAAGGCGTTGGATCCAACGTAGGGAGAATTTGTGCGGCCGCGAGCAAGAACAATTCCCGCCAGGAAGACTCCAGCAGCATAAGCTGGTCCTCCATAGCTAAGTTTGTACCTGCTGCTAGGTCTCTAGCCCAATGGACGTTCAGGAAAAGAAGCCTAGCTGCCTGCTCGCAGATGGACTCTGCGGTTATCGCCGGGATCAGCGGCAGCGACGGCAATCCGGGTACATTTACTGGAATCTAGAAGATTAGGAAGATTTTCAGGTTTTTGATGCTTTTGGTTCTCCGTTTTTAGGGGTTTGGTGCTTGAGACTGAGATCATTTCGTGGACGTAGTTGTTTGATTTTCAGAGTTTCTTACATGAGCAGTAACTCGCGATTATTGTCAATCTTAACACTAAAACTACCGAGTAATTAAATTGATTTTATCATATTGTTCTATAGAAACTCCAAGAGTGCATCTGTTGAGACTTTAATCGATTTACAATTTAACTTGCGTATTACTCAATCAATTTTTTTTTCATTTAATTTCTTTAATAATTGCAAAAATAAGAATTTAAGAATGGGTCATTTTGATTCGTCAGTAAGTTTAGTCTTAACTGCATCGACGGATAGAATTATTTTGATATATTATAAGCGTATTTGGATTTTTAGTTTGAATTGTAAATTTTACTTTTCATGACAGCAATAAAAGAAAGCATTATTGCGATTATACAGAGTAAAGCACTTAACTTGATCACCTTGAATAACACTTTTATACTCAGAATTTGATACGCTATCGATCTATGATAAAAAAAGTAAGTCATTCCATAAAAAAAAATCAAGGTGACCTTGAAATCTCTGAAACGCCTCCACCCACAAAAAAGTACGCACCTTATAAGATATGCTATCTGATGCCATTTAAATCCCATGTTTCAACGTTTTCATAAACTGTACCGTTAAGTAATTATTCGAGGTGATCAAGCTAAATGCCTCACCCTGTATATCTTACTGCTTCGACGCGTTATCAATATAAATAGTAATATTTATGGCACTAGTCTTTCAAGTAATAATTCAATTTATTGAGATATTGCAAAAGACGAATAATGTATATCACAGATCTTCGTGGCGAAAGAAAGAAGCCAATATGATTATCACAGTGTTGCTTACCTTCGACAAGGCCGTACTGTTGCAGTAAATAGGGTGCGGATTGGGATGATGAGGGGATGGCGCTGCGACGATGACTCGGGGTTCGCTCGGCGGTTTAGGCAAAGCCAGATCCAAAGCCGCCATTGGTGGAGGTACCATGTTGGCCATCATTTCGGGCTCTTTAAAGTATAAAGCCATCTGCCTGCGTAGAGTCGAATTTCGTGGGCCACGTTCGTGCTGCACAGCTGGAAAAATACGACGATTCACGTTAATGCATCGTTTAACATGGTTTACGGAATGCACGCATCCATTTCATACGGTAACACACTGCTTTCTGTACTGTTCTTTCTTCAAAAATTATGCAGAGTCAATGACTACTCGTATGAACTTTGTAAAATTCATAATTTAAAGTAAGCTTGAAGCTACTTAATGTTACCTTGATGTTTTGAATAGAACATTTTCGGATTTAACATTCATTAATTTTAGCTTACCGTCTTTGTTCATACCAGCTTGTATGCATTTGGCCAAACGGCAGGCTCGACATCGGTTCCGATGAGTCTTGTCGACCATACAACCCCCTTCGGACTTCGCCTTGCAGTCGTACTGACGATTTCTTCGTATCGATCTCTTGAAGAAACCGGCACACCCGTCGCACGCAAATATTCCGTAATGCTTCCCCGATGAATGATCGCGGCAAACTTTGCAGGGTATGTCGTATAGAATGCGACCTGAAGAGAGAGAAAGCAAAATATTTTGAGCAAAAGAACGTTTAACTTCTTAACCTCTTCGCATCTTCGCACTAAGTGTAAAGCTTACTTTATAAATCAGAGATGCTCAATTGAAAGTCTTTCAAGCTTTTGATTGAAATTAATCTACTTCGACCGATACAAACGAGTAACATAGACAACTAAAAGTAATCATGTACGGAATATTCTACTCTTGGTGATAAGCAACAGTTACTGTATGCAGATTATTTCATGAGTTAAACACATTATATGTATATCTAAAATATTTCTGAATCAGTGATGCTAAACATATACTATAACATTTGACAGTATCCAATTTCCTTCCCAACTATGAAACCCAATAAAACCGAATCAACAGAATTCAGAAGACAATGCAAATTTGTTATAGAACGTTGTACATTGTTTTAAAAAGTACGACATTTTAAAAGATTATAAACATTACATCTTATTATAATAGCAATAAATAAAATAAATATAAAACGTTGAATTCTACCGCTCCTAATTACTTTAATTCATTTCCCTAAAAATAAACACAAGTTTACACCCAACAACATTGAAAAGAAATCGAGTGCAAAGGGTTAAAACTCGCCACGATCTCCCACATAAGCTCCAAAGAACAGAGTCGACGAATCGTCTTCAAATTTCCTGGCTTTGCACAATGGGGTTGTGGGAGAAGAGACCTACTCCCGCGAGTCGATCGTCGCGACTAAACGGCTGCATTGTCGCGCGAAGGCCGCGAAGAAAGCGTCGTTTAATCCGAAGAATGCCCAGTATTTTGTATCGGAACCCTTTTACTAGGGAAAACACGGCTTGGCCCTGTGAATGACGGAGGCCTCGATGAATGGGATCGATTTGTCGCCAAGTCTAGAAGGACCTCCTGGACGGTGCCCCGCGCTCTTCTATACCTGTCCCGTGCTCCAGAGCCGCGTTCTACGTGGGACAGAGGGCAAGGGTGTGGTGCCTCTATAATGGGGGTACCAACTCGTTGCCACGGACCCCGCCTACGCCATTCAGTCGGCCAGAGGCTCGTGAATGGGGCTGAATGGACCGGATGTGGCTGCTGCATTCAGCAGCCCTTAAGTGAGCAGTCCGAAACACGACACTTTGCGTCCTCTCGTATCGCTCGATCTCTCTTGATCGGCTCCCCAAAGCTCCCTTTATCTTTGCCTAACGTGGATCTTATTATGGAAGAAGATTAAACGTTTTCGAACTGGCCCGGTTCGCCTCGTTTCCCTCTTTTAGCTGCGCGAACGCGAGACTCGTTTAGATGCAAGAAGGAATACGGGAAGTTTATCCGCAATTGGAGAACCGATTCAGGGTGTTATTTGCTCGAGAGATAAGGAAGATTCTGTTTGGGTGACGAGCCGGTTTTTTGGCAGCGGCTTCTTCTTCTGACCGATTTAGGTTCGCTGGAATCTCATGTTTGTATTGCAGCGCTTCGCGAAGTTCGGAACACGTGGTGAACAG